AAAGTATATAATGAAAAAAAAAAGTTTTTACTTAATTTAACATCTTTTAATAAGGATGCAACTATATTTTTACATTTTTTAGGATTATGAAATTTAGAATTTAAAAGACTTAGTTTTTAAAAAAAATCACTTTAATTAAAGGTCAAAGTGACCTTGAAATAGGCCGCGACACACCTTCTACTATAGATGTATACTTTTGCCAAGTTTGAAAGCTCTAGGTCTAATAGTTTTCTAGTTATGAGCCGGACAGGATTTTTCCATATTTGGCCATAGCATCTTTATTAAAGGTCAGAGTGCCCTACTTTTTGTGCGCGACACACCGTCTACCCAAGAAGTATCAGTTGACAAAGTTTGATAATCCTAGGCCATATAGTATTCAAGTTATGAGCCGGACAGGAATTGACAGACGGACGGACGGACATGAAGCCTATAACATAATACGTCCCGTCTTTAGACTGGCGTATAAAAATTCTTGATAAAAATGTTGCTGAATTTAATTATAAACTAGTACATAATTTATTACCGAATAATCTCTTATAATCTTAGTAAATGGAATAAAGATATTGATAAATACTGTCCAGTATGTCGCAGTGAAGAGAATTCTAAGCATCTGATTTTTGATTGCATTCAAGTTAAATAAATATGAAACAAAGTCTCTGAAATCATTAGGTATAGATATTAGTTGGAGAAATATTTTTGTGGGTTTTAGTCATGGTATCAACTACAATACTTTTGTTTTCAATAATGTCTTGTCATTTAAAATATTTAAATATAAAATGAAATGTATAGAATTATGAAAAATAATATTACAAGTGAAGACATGTTAATCTTTATGAAAAATGCTCTTATGAAATTTTACTTAGTCACCAAACGACATCACATACAATTTTCACATCTGAAAATCTTTGGCAATAAACTTGTAATTATTGTATACAGGTGACCTGGCCCTCTATACATGTTGCTAAGGGGTGTGTTGGACAGTGTTTTTTATGTGTTCCCCTAGCAACATAATTTTTCTATGTGTATCTGTTTAAGTACTTTGTCAACATAAAATTTGATTATATTATACTCTATTGATTTAAATACCTGTTACTATGGGCAGCGGAAAGGGCAAAAATTACCATAATGAGAAAATAAACAATTATTTTAATTTCAATGACCATAAAAACTTAACAAATGATATACAATGCATAATCAACAGACGTTTTCGCACAACAAATGTACACTGAACACAACTTCTAAGTGCTCATCTAACATTTTTGAAGTTTTAAAGAATAAATGCAAACAATTAATAATTTCTTTAATTTCAGATTAATGATGCATATTTGAGTTGGATGTTGCGTAAATTTCATGAGTTTATCTCGTCAGAATTTTAAGAAAGGTGTCAAGGAAACGAAATACCCTCAAAATGAAAATTCACACAAAAACATATCTATATGGAGTAAGACCACCACTCGATTCAATTACTTCAATACTGTAATTACAGTTGAATGCCATGTATCCCTGAATAGGTGATTTACCCATCTGCTGCCACACCTACTGCCTAGATCTTTCCAAACCGTTGAAATTGCGTAGAAAAGGAGGGGGGTTGACATTTCTTATAAAATCCCAAATGTTTTAAATTAGATTCAGATCCGGGAATTTGACAGTGTATCATCAAACAGATGCCTTTTGCCCAATATCTTAGGGTGTCAGCACGTAAGTGTACCTCTTTCAGGATAATTCAGACTGCTTGAGCTGATATTAGACTGTCACGAGCACCGATTTCTGATCATTCTCGTACGATTGAAATTATATGTTTTCATGTTTCTAAGACTGTTTCAGGACAATTTAACACTCTTTTAACAGGGTTTGACGCAAAATTTTGGCCTCAGAAGAATATCAAGGTTACTTCCGGTTTAGTTAAAATTTGTCAAAAACTTTCAAATTGTGATAAATTAGTGATGAAAATGACACACAGCCTATAGAAAATGAGTTTAAATGAGTTTAAATACTAGTTGTTAACTTTTAAAAGTAATTCAAGTACAATTAAACACTTAATTAAAAGTGAGTAAAACATGGTGCAAAGATTTTCATTATTTCAACATTCCAACGGCTCTTCTTTCTAGCTCATTGGTCATTTTGCCAATGTTTTGAGTTTTTAAGTGAAACCATTTTTTAAAATTTGATAATGATCACAAACAGATACTAATAAAACAAAACACGTACCGCAAAGTACAGATTTATTGTTTTTAAGCTTCGTCACGGAACAATGGTTTTCATCGGTGATATTTGATTTTCTTTCAACAATTGTTGAGAAGACTCATTTGTTGTAATAATTTGAAAATATCACATCATTCTATAAAGCAGTTTTTTTTTAATAAATACATTCATTAAAGTGAACACTTAGAAGTTTTGTTGAGTGTACATTAAAGCAAAACCAACGACCACGTACGTAACAAACATGTATGAATGCAAAACCAACAATCATCTTTGCAGTACAAACGTACATAAAAACACGACAAGCGAAAAAACTTAACAAACGTGCACGCGATAAATCTAGTCTTCCCGACTGCCGGCGGTCCCGTTTTTGTGGGTTTTTTTTTTTGGGGGGGGGGGGGTCTTTTTTGTCAGTGCATAGAAATTAACTCTTCAAACTTTTAATGCATATTTCCTTTTTAAATTAATTCAATTATATTTATTAAGGAATCAGCAGCATCACCTTCCAAAAGCGTTAAATGTAGTACTCCGTTATAAATATGAAAACTAAGAGACGTAGAAAGTAAAGGTGCATGGACTCAGATTTGGAGTTAATATTTTCTGTATAATATTACGACTTATAAATTGTAATAGCATTTCACACAAAAATATATTAAAAATCTTATTTCATCTAAAAGTTATTAGAACTTAAAAGTTTTAGACGGATCCTTGCAATCTCGCAAATTTTAATTTTATTCTTAATACTAAGGAAAAGTAGCAATCTTGTTTCAATAACTTTAAGATGAAATAAAATGAACTTCAAATCCGTGTCCATGTATCTTTAAAGATATTAAAAATATTGATATTGAGAGGATATTTCTTCTCAAAAAACTGGAACACAGGGGCTTATGTAGAGAAAATAAATCAGTTAAAAAAATTAGTACTCGGAGAAAAATACACTGTGTATTTTTCTCCGAGTTACTAATTTTTTTTAACTGATTTTTTTTTTATTTATTTTTTTTGTCTACGCAAGCCCCTGTGGATGGAATTAGTATTTCAAAAAGAAATTTTAAATTCTATAAAATACATAACATCCAAATGATTTGATTTCAAATAAGATTTTTATCAAAACTTTCATAAAAATAGCTAAATCTAACATTGTACCTATTGTAAAACCATGCAAAATGAAAATATTGCATTGTTATACATTGACGTAGTGCTCATCGTTTTTGAAAGGAGAGAGTAACCAGAGAAAAAAAATTCAAACAAGCTGAAAAAAAGATTTTAAAAACTTGACAAGCAAAAACAAAAAGGAAACAAGATGTGTTTGTAAAACACTGATGCCCCCGTATGGCAACATAGCAAAGATTAAGCTTTTCTTAAATGCAAATTTCATTAATTGGTACCAAAAGTAGGGTATTCTCATTGGAAAACAATTATGAAATTTGAAAGTAAGCTAATGTTAAAGTTTTTTAATAATTACAAAAATCTCCAAGGTCAAGGTCAAAAGGTAAATGTAATTAGTATCAAATGAAAGGTCTTGCCACATAAAATACTTTTGTAAAGCATAAAAGCCCTTGCCCTAACCGTTCAGAAGGTATATTCAACGTTCAAATTCTTAAAAAGTAGGTCAAACTCCAAGGTCAAGGCCAAAGGGACAAAGTTATTGTTATCAAATGAAAGGTCTTGTCATAATAATCAAATATGAAAAGTATGAAAGCACTAGCCCTAACTCTTTAAAAGTTATGGTCAAGATTTGCTTTTTTTAAAGTAGGTAAATCTCAAAGGTCAAGGTCCAAGGGTCTAAATTCTTGGTATCCAATGAAGTGTCTTCTCACAAGAATTACATATATGAAATATGATAGCCCTATACCTTACCGTTCAAAAGTTATGGCCAAGGTTAAAGTTTTTTCACAAGTAAGGAAATCTACAAGGTCAAGGTCAAAGGGTCAAGTTTGTTGGTATCCACTGAAAGGTCTTTTAACAAACATTATATATGTGAAGTATAAATATACTGGTGTCTACTGTTCAAAAGATATGGCCAAAGTAAAATTTTCATGTAAAAGTGGGTCAAACTCCAAGGTCAGAGTCAAAAGATCACATTTGGTGGTACCCAAAGAAAGGTCTTGTCATAAGGATCAAATTTGTAAAGTATAAAAGCACTGGCCTTAACTCTTTAAAAGTTATGGTCAAGGTTTGCTTTTTTAAAGTAGGTCAATCTTAAAGGTCAAGGTCAAAAGGTCAAAGTTCTTGATATCCAATGAAGGGTCTTCTCACAAGGATTACATGTATGAAGTATGATAGCCCTATCCTTTACCGTTCAAAAGTTATTGCTAAGGTTTAAGTTTTTTCACAAGTAAGGAAATCTACAAGGTCAAGGTCAAAGGGTCAAGGTTGTTGGTATCCACTGAAAGGTCTTTTTACAAACATTATATATATGAAGTATAAATGTCCTGGATTATATTGTTCAAAAGATATGGCCAATGTAAAATTTTAAAATTTTCATGTAAAAGTGGGTCAAACTCCAGGGTTAGGGTCAAAATGTCAAATTTGATGGAACCCAAAGAAAGGTCTTATCACAAGGAATACACAAATAAAATATGAAAGTCATAGCTCCACTAAATCAAAAGTTATGGGCAAGGTTAAAGTTTTTGCGGACAAACAGACAAACAGAGAGACAGAGAGACAGAAAGACAGAGAGACAGACAGACAGACAGACAGACAGACAGACACGACAAAAACTATATGCCCCCGAAACTTCGTTTACGGGGGCATAATTAAAATGAAATAGCCCAAACTCGAAAACCTATCTTGTGTGTATGTGTGTGTGTGTGTGTGTGTGTGAGGGTGCGTGTGTGGCTCCCCCATACTGGGGACCTGCTACAGATACGCAAGTCGTAAAATGGGGACATAAAAAACATTGGGGACTTGATTTAAGTCCCCAAACTTTTTTTTCGTTGAAAACGAAAAATTGACATGTCTAAATCCTAAAAATATCAAAAAAATAACGTGTCCCAGTTACGGGGTTTTATCGGACACATGATTACACAGATATCGTGTTGATTGAAGTTGCCATCTTCACTTACACATCTCTGACGTTACACACTTCTAGATTACGCATGCGCGTGTGTAAAAAAAAGCGGAAGTCCAATTGTTTTGAAGCGGGATACAATAAACATGTGGAAAAGAAGACACAGAGGAAAACCTGGGCACAGAATCCTAGATTCTTTTGATAAGGATGATTTTTATGCTGGAAAACGGTATGTTATCTACTTCTTAGATAAAATATGGTGCGAGGAAACTTGCATCAAAGTATTGACGGGGGGAGGGGGATTGTGGCATAGGCCTATCGGGTACTCAGTTGAAATGAAAAGACAGTTATTTATGTGATTTTCTTTCTTGAAATAGTACACAATTTATGCTATTCATTTCACAATGATTTAAAATTCATCAAATGTGAGGTATATTAATCGAATGTGTTTTGTATTTCATCAGCTGTTCATGTCAACATGAAATGACCTTTACTAAGTTTTAACTGAACTAAATCCAGTCCACTTTAATTTGGGAAAATGGAAATGTAGTTTGTATGTGTGAGTTTTTTTGAGCCAATAGTGAGATCGGATTGTAACACCCCCCCCCCTTTCTTCTTGAGATCTGCAACTTTTTGTTTTTAAAGCCAAACCTAAGATCGGGTTGTACCAAACACCTCAACAACCACCTCCTTCTTCTTGTCGAGCTCAGCAACCTATTTCTGGTGTTGTTTTCTTTTAATTTTTTAAAGCAATAAGTGAGATCGGATTGTACCCCCCCCCCCACCTTTTACTTGAGAGAGAACATACAGTGTAGTTATCATATTCATCATATATTTCACTTGTCCTATAAAATATAAGCATTACTTAATACAATAATAGCCTATCTCAATTTTACTCAAAATGCACTTATTATCTACTGCTAAAGAGCAAGTAATTGAATATCAAACATATATTAATTGTTTACATGTTGTTTATATTAAAGAAACTTGGACTGAAGCATCTTTTAATTTAAAAAGCTACCACATTACTTATATGACAGTATAATTCATTAAGTGACAATTATATTTTCCACATTTTTTCTTAATTATTATCATTTTACAGCATTCTTTTTTTTTTTTTTAAATCACATTTGATGTCTCTAAGGGCCTGTACGTGTTATGGGCATTGGAATAAAAATGCCCAGAAAGAAAATATGGATAAAAATGTACGTCTTGAACAAAATTTATTAATGAATTTTTTTTTTAATTATATAATTATTATCCTTAAACATGTGAAATGATATAGAATTAAACTAGAATATAAAAATCATGCAAACTTGTGTTTATTAGATTTTTTTAATCTGGTCATTATATCCTAAAGCAGGACATTATACCCCTGTCGTTTTTATTATGTCCAATAAAAAGTTTATATATTTCATTGTGCATTTTGCCACGATTCTCAATGAAGATAACAATATTTTAAATTATTATTTCCAATAAAAATGATATTGTGTATGCACCAAAATTGACAAAAAACTATTTATTATAATCAGTCAGGACATTGTACTATAAGGGCATTATACACTTCCGGTGTAAACAGCTTATTCAGGAACTGAGGAAGCAGGTAAGGCATGGTTTGGACTGAAAAAAAAAAAAACAACGTCCTTGTTTGATTCCTTGAAACGATTCATTGTGTAATTATGTTCTGGAGACTTGAAGTCTGTACAAAGACACACTACATCAAAGTAGTTTCATGTCGACCGCTTTATACCTGTTAGACAGATCATATGGATAAGCCTTTCCGAATTCCCTCGGTTTAATTTTCATTTCACTGTTAGTGTGTTTGTTTATATACAAACAGCTTTTAAATTGAATTTTTAAGAGTTAATTATAATTGTATATCATATGATATAATCTTTTTTAAAGCAGAGTGCATCATGTATTTAATTTTTGTATCCTTTCTATCAGAAAAGTCATAGGCTATAGTATAATAAGAATCATTTGACTTGTTAAATGTATTGTGGTATATTAAGTTTATTTATGTATTCTTAAATTATTTCATTTCGATCCCGATGTAAATTATCTTGCTTATATTTGGAAACACCCACTTTTATGCGACTATCAGATCGGGGAGGAAGATGACTGGCTTTATTCTCTATAGCTACACTCTTCACATACTAGAATCATCTTTTTGTCCATCTGTTTATATTGCTTTTATAGTTCATATTTGGGTTAGACTATATTTTGGTTGGGGGTAATTATTATGTACATCGTACGTACATTATAGCAGTTTTCTGTAAGACTGTTATAAATTTGTAAAGTCGGAATGCCAATATTGACCTCATAGAACAACACCTACATGTAGTATCGCGAGTACCTCACAGATATAAATTCTTACTACCGCTCTTTGCAAGGGAAGGCTCTAAATCTCACAATTTAGATTTCTGGCATACGTATAACAATTTTTACACTAGTGACAATCGAATGATTCAAACAATTTTGATTGTATGATATCCAATATTTTAGAAATCACAAAATTTTATACAAATATTAACATTACATTTGGCGTTAGGGCTGAAACGATACACCCCCTCCACGATACAATACGTATTGCAATACTTGTGTCACAATTCAATTTTTTCAATACAATACATTTAAAAAAAGAAACAGATCATTAAGTTAAAGAAAACATGTATTTAGATTCCAAAAGATACATATAAGGTAACGATACAAAAAGAAAACACTTTTTGTGCTTCTGTCGATTAAAAAAGCGCATTGTCTGTGTCAATTCTAGCAGCAGCAACCTGCACAAAAACTTTTTCTGTCTTAATTTTCTCTCTCTTGAGTGTCAAATAAACTGACAAAATGAGGACAAAGACAGTCAATTGAAGGGTTAGCTAACCTGAATATAAAAAAGTGTATTGAATTGAAAATTGAGGTAGTGAATTGAATATTGAATTGAGGAATTATAATGAACAATATCGATATTTCGATGAATTGTTTCAGCCCTATTTGGCTTGCAATCTTTTTAGCACTTTGGGGGGAAAGAAACTTCCGCTAAGTCAAGTACAGTATGCTAAATGTCTTGCACATATGTTAATAATTAAGAACTTTATGAAATGCACTAAATCAAATCTATACGCTAACTTGCTCAAAAGTCAAATATTATATTTTTATTACACACTTAGTAATAAATACAGGTTTTTTGCATATGCGATATAGCTGACGTCACAATAGCCGTATCAGCCCTGCAGGGCTGATACGGTTATTGTGACGTCAATATCACACCCTTAATAAATTAAACCACAAAAACAGTACTTGTGATCATACACAATTTTTGTACTGTTTGGTGGGTTCATATTCTTGTAATTTTAACTTTTTGAAAATAAATTTAATCTTAATTTACAAATACATGTAATAATTATAGATTATTTTCAAATTACGGATCGAGTGCATTGAAATAGAAGTAGAAACAAACAAAATTGTATGAGACAATAGACCATGTACATGTAGTATGTTAGTTTACTGAGGCCAAAGGCGATTCAAAAGTCAGCCAATTAATTCATTGTTATTAAATGTTATTGAATTTCCAAATGTTTGACACGTTTGTTCTTGTCTCCAACAAATGTATACACTCATGATTTAAAGCATAGTGTAATAACACATTATGATTTGCATGATTAGTGTTAGCAAATCGGATGATTTTTATTAAGTGGTTACTCGCTTCATCTTCCAATCGAGTACCCGGTTACTCAGATGATTTTTGGTAAAAGCATCAATATCTATTATTTATCTTTTTCCATTCTTATCGGTATAGTAATCTGCAAATATACTGTATATGGACATTATTTTTACAATACACACATACGATATCATCAAAGATTTACTGTTTTAAAATAAAGAAAATAAGGAAGTCGACACACCGAGAAGACAAATAAATATATCATTGTCAATCACCATTTTACACTTTCCTTTTCAGCCCCCGAAATATGTCGCAATCAAGGAGAATAATTATTTACATACTCCATAATTAATAGTCAGTATGTAGAGTTTCCAGTAAATCGCTGGTTTCCGAATATTTTAAGATTAGGTGATTTAACAGATTTTGAATCAGCTGTTCTTCTGGTAAACTTCAAGCTTATTATGTCTGCGACGGCATCTCGTTAAATTATCAAATGAGGTAATTATAGCTCAGGTCTTCAAAAGATATATACCCCAAGCAATCAAAGCTATCAATTATATAAACTGTGAAAACTAATCAAAACAGTTTGATCCACTACAACCATGCACTAGATCAAGTCTAATGGTATCTAAAATTAGCGAAATGTGTAAGTTAGTATACCGGTACATTTATAAATTATTAAACATTTATTTCTATGCCTTTACTATGGAGAATTCATTTTATCCGAGTAACTGAATAGCAGTTTTACTAACTGATACTCACATCGTTCGACAGTTAGTCAGGTACTCGTTGCCAACACTAATTATGATCGTAATTTATCAGCTTTATCAAATGTTTAAAAGTGGAAAAAATATTATTAAACAATAGATACTCAACTATTTACTAAGAAAGTAGTTTAGTGCATTGGTATCTAGCATGGTAACATTTACAATGACACATGTTTTAAAACGCCCTATTTGATTGGTCAAAAAATGTTAGCAAATATATGGTTGGTCAACGTGGTCAAGAGGGAAAACCCCAAAACCTCCTGGAACTTTAATTTGAAGTGAACTCACTCTGAGGTACACCCAAAAATGCCCAAGGAAAAGGTGTCTAGTCCAACCAGAGAGCACCTTAATCCCTGATCATTTAATTTCTATGCTTATTGTATAGAAATGGGAACTCAGTAGTATTACAAACTTTTACTTTGAGAATAATATTGATAAATTTCTGTATAAAAATGCTTTTACAACATTAGCTGCAGATCTGTAGCTATCCGAAAAAATATATATTGATAGACTGGATAGCTACAGTGCCACCCATTGAAAAAACTGTATATTTATTGCGCACAAAAAAGTGCGCTCGGTTTTTTAGCTCTACTGGTCAGAGACCAGAAGAGCTTATGCGATAGTAAGGTGTCCGTCGTCCGTCTGTCTGTCTGTCTGTCCAGCTGTCTGTCTGTAAACAATTTTTCAAAACGCTACTCCTCCTACAGTTTTGATTTGATTTCAATATTACTTGGCACACAAGTAGACTTCACTAAGATACATAAAATAGTGCATTGGATTTTAATTTCGTTGAACGATGTTGCCATGGTTACTCAAAATTGAATTTTCTTTGAAATTCCTTTAACACGCTAGTCATCCTACAGTTTTGGTCTGATGGCAATGGCTTCTTTTCTCATCCTTTGTTATAAATGCAAACCAGTAGAGCTACAGTCTCGACAGAGACTTCTGGTTATTATTTCTTCCTAATTCTTACCTCAATTGCAAAAGAGGGAAGATTTTAAAAAGTTTCTGTTTCCTTTATCAATTACATTCGCAGTTGACATCTGAACGAAGCGTATTGGACCGAATTATCTTTGAAACCAAAATGGCAGTATAAATAATCGAAATGTTCGATGATTACACTATCAGGGTCAGGAGGACTATTAAAAATAATTATGACGAATGTTTCGTTGTGGAAAGAGTCAAAGAATATGTAAGGAACACACGGTTAGTTATATATTATGAGATTTCAGTTTTAGGAACATGGAGAAATAAATCGAAAACCGAGCGCACTTTTTTGTGCGCAATAAATATACAGTTTTTGAAATGGGTGGCACTGTAGCTATCCGGTCTATCAATATATATTTTTTCGGATAGCTTCAGATCTGCAGCTATTACAACATGTATTAAAGATTTGTTCCTACTTTTAAAAAAAAAAATTCCAATACATTCTGAATTAAATTTATGATTTTTTTTGTTAGAATGTTCAAGGCAACCAGAAGCTTGAGTCCATCCTGAACATAGAGACAACACAGATATTAGCAAAGCTGTAAATATTGCTAGAGGATTAGTTAATGCAACTCAGCAAGGACTAGTGATGGATATGTTCCAGGTTCCACAGCTAGGAGAATGTCAGGAAGAAAAGCCTCATCATTAAAAGTGTTACAGGTGAATTATTTAGGAATTTAAGAAATAAATAGGATAGATAAATATATACTAGGGAATTAATTTTTTGTTGGTTCATGATCACATCTATTGAGAAGCCAAAGGCAAAAGTATTGCATGCAGTAAATATTGTTTGGATGTAATCACACTTATATCATTGTATACAAATAACCTTTATCCGTATTTAGGCCATATAAAATTAAAATCTTGGTTCTCAGGCCCGCGCGCATCCGTTTTGAGGTAGCCGATTTTATTGTATTTTTGATAAAATAAAAAGTTGGTGTTGCGGAGACCAATCCGGGAAAAAAATTCCAACCTCATTTGTTTCGTAGTTTAGTATTCAAATATCACTTCCGGTAGCCATTTACAATGAGATTTTGGCTACTTTGTTTGAAAATACATTCGAGGAAATTACCTACAATGTTTACACGCTGATAAGCAATTGATAAAGCAGAAATTTTGACCAGAAATGGAAAGTATATCTGTGATTAAAAAAATTATCTTTATGTTAAAGAAAATTCGGAAATTAAAATTTAAAAAATACCTCCCTCATCTACTTTATTGCCTATAAAATGAAAAATAAAATGCCGCCCTCCCGCATCTGTTTTGGAGAAAATTGGCCTGAGAACCAGGGAATTAAATTTAGATAGCCTTATAAATATTTTGAATTTATGTCAGATAATATAAATCTAAATTCATTCCTGTGTCAAATTATATTTTCGTTTCCAATGTCTTTGTTCAAGAGACAATTACAAATAGTCAAATGAATGCACTTTATTTCTCCATTAATATACTTGTTCATTGCTAAAAAAAAAATCATGTGCAGGGCTGAACAAATATAGAGTCAAGAAGCAGAGCTTGTAGCACGTTTATTGGCGGAATCAATTCTATGTAATATAAAGAATAACTGTCATTTTCAATTTCATGACAATGATCAATCGATTGGCTTGCATAATAACTTTATGCATAAATGCCTTGGCCAAAATGCGTTTATGCAAATTATATACGCCAACCAATTGATTCTTTTCAAGAACCACAGGGCCAGGAAAGATGAAACTCATGTGAAATCATCCTCAGGTAGTTTCGATTCAAGTTTGTTTAAATCATGACCCTGGGGATAGGGTGGGGCCAAAATGGCTGATCAAAGTTTTACATAGGACTAGATAGGGAAATCTTTTAAAATTGTCTTCTCAAGTACTTCAAAGCCATGATTAGTGATATTTATGTTGAAACATCCTCAGGTAGTGTAGAATTAAATTTGTCAAACCATTCAAACCATTATAACGCCTAAGGGTAGGGTGGGGCCACATTGGTGAATCAAAGTTTACATAGAAAAATAAAGGGAGAAATCCCAAGAACAGAAAAGCTATGTTTAGTCATATTGACATGTAAGCATCCTCAGGTATTTAGGATTTAAATTTATTCAAATTATGGCCCTTTGGGGCAAGAAGGGAAACAATGGGGAATCAAATTCAAATTATTATGAAGTTATATATAGGAAGAAAATGTTTTTAAAAATCTTTTTATCAAGAACAGTAAAGTCATATGCTGTGTTTATATGAAGGCATTGTAAAGTAGGATTAATTCAAGCCCCCCCCCCTTTTCAGTAAACTTTTCCTGATCTGATTTGTGCTTTTTCCTAGCTGATTTTCTCAGTTGAGCGATGTGGCCCCTGGACCTCTTGTTTGAAATTACTGGGATCAAAGCTGTTGATTATTGCTCAAAAGTTTATCATATACATACACATTTTATTCTGGTTGAAATGTTTGTAATTTTACAATTAAGTTCCATTTTTTTCCACACTGCATTACCCATTTTAAGGCACTAAAGGAAACTGATGGCATTGTTTTTGTGTGGGTGATGAGAATAAGAGTGAGGAGGAGATTAGTTTGACAATCAGGATGTCCACACTGTCACTCCAGGTACTGTATACACACTGCATTACCCATTTTAAGCAATAAGTTTCTTAACTTGAAATTATATGCAGAAACCCAGCATGACCAGCCAGTCTACATGCATGGAAAATTTTCTTAAGACTTGATATTGAGTATTACTAGTAGAGCTTTAGTCTAAAATGCAAACAGGTTGTTCTATTCAAGGATAGGCCAGAGTGTAGTTCAGACACAAGTTATTTGCATTAATTGAACTATACCAATTTCAGAGTCATAACATTTCACAAATATGTCTTCTGAATGGAGATGGAGGAGTTAGCTGAGATTAAATTCCTGGATGTGAATTTATATAGCAAAGCTTTCAAGTACACAGACCATTCAAATAAAGAAAGTACCTATGTATCACAAATATACTAGTAAACAATCATTCTCCTGCCAGATTATATTTTAGTTGAAAAAAAATTGCTTTAACTCTGAAAGCTATTTTTATTATTATTATTTTTTTTTTGTACAGACCATACCACCAACCAAGGAAAATTATATTTTGAAAATATCATTTTAGGGAAGAAGAAGTCATTTCTGATCCTAGATCTACTGTGGAAGATTCTACATGCAAGTGACAAGAGATACAAAAAAATCCCAAGGACATCATGAGAAATGAATTTAATCAACAGACATTTTGGAAAAGATTTTCTAAAAAATTGTAATAGGACCTTAGAGAAGTGTAAAACACCAAGGAAATACATTTGTAATCTTGTTAAAAACAGAGAAAATCTTGATTAACATTCTACTTTCAATTGATATACTTTGAGAAATATGAAAAAAACTGTTTTAGAGCCACAGTAATGGAGGACATTGAATTCTTTGCAGCAGTTTTATCATTAGGCCATTCCATTTTTTTTCTGTGTTTAGTGTCTGCAGATGGATTGGTTTTGAGGTCAAGCAATTTAAGAACAAACACAAAATAAAATTGACAAATACAAATCTTTGACAAGCAATTTACTCTTCTGGGATCAGCATCTCTCTTTTTTAAAAGTGATGTGCCTAAGTTTTTTTTTTTTTGTTTCATTAAACTAGTAGTAGTAGTTTAATTTAGTTATAATATGAGGAAAATTCTTAAATGATGCTAAAGGAGTTCTAGAACTTTGCGTAAAATGTTGTTTTTTCCCCTTTTGGTTTGTGATTTTTCTTTTGGAACGAAGAAATGTTTGAAATAAAGGTTGGATGGGAAACAAAGAAAAAACTTGGAATGGCCTCATATAACCTACATGGACTAAACTTGCATAGATGAAGAGTGCTTAAGAAGCTGTGCATGATGTATGTAGGAAATGATTTTGAAGTATTAAATATTCTATGCAAAAGGAAATTTTCTCAATTTAGTTAATTTTTGCAAAAAAATGATTAAGCATCACATACATAACCTTTCTGAAAGTGAAAAAAATATTCATCCTAATTAAGTTTGATCAAGTCTTTAGTTCAAGTTATATGCAAAAATACATATTTCATTCTTTATAAACACTATGATATTGCTGTACTTTTCTTATGTGAATTGAATATAAAGAGTTGGATTTGATGCATAAATAGTCCTGTTCTTATACTAGTTCTTTGAAAATCACCCCCTGTCCCATTTTTAACATCAAAATAAAGTATGGAGTATTTCTCATTTCCTTTAACAAAGATTTTTTATAGAGTCCTGAGATTGGAAGTTAAACAAGATTTCAAAGTTCTTGAAATATTAAAAATGCAAAAAAAAAAGGAATTTTCAGGATATGAGAGAATTCAAATGGGACCTTGAGACTTGGTCAGTTAATTGGTATATATATGGAGGGCCATTTTATGGATAAAGTGAACCTAGCTCTTTTCACCATTTCAATGAATACACTGTCACAAAGTATCAAAATGATAAACTGATGCATTGGTTACCAAAACTGAGTACTTTTGATTTCTCACAATTCACAGGGCCAAAAAAAAAAGCTTTCAGTGAACCTTGCTCTTTATTACATTTATGTCTGTAAACTTTTACCATGTGCAAACGTCCTTTGTTTCTAGAAATGCCTTTATCTTCTGTAAGTCCCCAAACTTTTAACATGTGTATAAGGTCCTCAGTCTCTATAAATACCTATATCATGTGTAAGTCCCCAAACTTTTAACATGTGTATAAGGTCCTCAGTCTCTATAAATACCTGTATCATGTGTAAGTCCCCAAACTTTTAACATGTGTATAAGGTCCTCAGTCTCTATAAATACCTGTATCATGTGTAAGTCCCCAAACTTTTAACATGTGTATATAATGTGGTCCCCAAACTTTTAACAGTTTCTATAAATACCTGTATCCAAACTTTTAACATGTGTATGTGTAAGTCCCCAAACTTCCCCAAACTTTTAACATGTGTATAAGGTCCTCAGTTTCTATAAATACCTGTATCATGTGTAAGTCCCCAAACTTTTAACATGTGTATAAGGTCCTCAGTTTCTATAAATACCTGTATCATGTGTAAGTCCCCAAACTTTTAACATGTGTATAAGGTCCTCAGTCTCTATAAATACCTGTATCATGTGTAAGTCCCCAAACTTTTAACATGTGTATAAGGTCCTCAGTTTCTATAAATACCTGTATCATGTGTAAGTCCCCAAACTTTTAACATGTGTATAAGGTCCCCAGTGTCTATAAATACCTGTATCATGTGTAAGTCCCCAAACTTTTAGGTCCTCAGTCTCTATAAATACCTGTATCATGTGTAAGTCCCCAAACTTTTAACATGTGTATAAGGTCCTCAGTTTCTATAAATACCTGTATCGTGTGTAAGTCCCCAAACTTTTAACATGTGTATAAGGTCCTCAGTCTCTATAAATACCTGTATCGTGTGTAAGTCCCCAAACTTTTAACATGTGTATAAGGTCCTCAGTCTCTATAAATACCTGTATCATGTGTAAGTCCCCAAACTTTTAACATGTGTATAGGTCCTCAGTCTCTATAAATACCTGTATCATGTGTAAGTCCCCAAACTTTTAACGTGTATGAGGTCATCAGTCTCTATAAATACCTGTATCATGTGTAAGTCCCCAAACTTTTAACATGTGTATAAGGTCCTCAGTTTCTATAAATACCTGTATCATGTGTAAGTCCCCAAACTTTTAACATGTGTATAAGGTCCCCAGTTTCTATAAATACCTGTATCATGTGTAAGTCCCCAAACTTTTAACATGTGTATAAGGTCCCAGTTTCTATAAATACCTGTATCATGTGTAAGTCTCCAAACTTTTAACATGTGTATAAGGTCCTCAGTCTCTATAAATACCTGTATAAATATGTGTAAGTCCCCAAACTTTTAACATGTGTATAAGGTCCTCAGTCTATAAATACCTGTATCATGTGTAAGTCCCCAAACTTTTAACATGTGTATAAGGTCCTCAGTTTCTATAAATACCTGTATCATGTGTAAGTCCCCAAACTTTTAACATGTGTATAAGGTCATCAGTTTCTATAAATACCTGTATCATGTGTAAGTCCCCAAACTTTTAACATGTTTAAAAGGTCCTCAGTTTCTATAAATGTTCTTATCCTATGCAAGTCCCCAAACATTAGGTATGTGTATAAGGTCTCAGTTTCTATAAATATATGTATAAAGTCTTCAGTTTCTTTTATTAGCCTTATCATGTATAAGTCCCTAAAACTTTTATCGTGTGTATGAGATCCTCAATTTCTTTTTATATCTTGATCTTAAGTAAGTCCCTAATTTCTATATATATATATGTATCTTGATCTTGTCCCTAAAGTTTTACCATGTGTGTAAGGTCCTCAGTTTCTTAATTTTCAAACTGTGCAAGTCCAAAAATTATAACCGTATGTACAAGGTCTTCAAAAAACCCTTTTCTTGTTTGTTGGTACATGTTGTTTAATGTCCCTGCAAATTTTGTCCTATATTTGGCACGTACGGACATGGAGAAGTGAGGGATCTTTTCCGTGCAAACACCTGCTGCAACAAGGGAACTCGGTTTATACGGTCTCATCCGAAGGATAGGTATCCACGTCCCACAGTTGTATTCGAACCTGTGACGTAAGGATCAATTAACCCCAATTAATTGCAAATCTAGAGCAGACGCTCTAACCACTGCGCCATGCGGGCGAGACACCTTTGTCTTGTGTAAGTCCTAGCTTAAATTATACCATAATGAATATAATCCTTTTAAATAATGAAAACATAATGTAATGCGATATTAGTTAATAAAAGTGTCCTTTTATAACATGCATACATGTATTTCTTATCAAATAAGTTCAAGAGCTCTTGTATTTTAAAGGCTGATACAGAGCAGTATCGGTTACAGCTACAGTAACTTTATTTCCGACGCTCAATAATAAACAGGCACACTCAATAATAAACAGGCACATATCATAGGGGTGGGGGTTGGGGGGTTGGCCACCCCCTTTTTTTCCAGACATTTTTTTAACTATATAAATTGTTTATTGAAAGCCCCCCTCCACCACACACTTTTGGAATAGGATTATATATTTGGACAATTTTCTTTTCTTCTGTTTTTTTTTTTTTTTTGATCAAGTTTTATCGGGTAAGTTGAATTTTAAAAAAATTATTTCCCGGGCTGAATTCCCCTTTAATTTTTTCAACATAGATGCCCCCTTCCCTTTCTGCTTGTCAAGGAATATTTGCTTGGTATTGCCCCCTCCGTGAAAATATTTGTGCAGCCCCCATCCCCCCAAACGAACACACACTAAAATTGCTTCCAACCAGTCAGATTGTGGTTCTCATAATGGCTTAGCAAAGTAAAAAAAAAAAAGGGAAATTTTAGCTCACCTTTACGATGAGAGCTTGTATATCGTCGGCGTCATACAGGTTAAAGATTAAGGGTCTATAATTTAATATTTTTTTTTCATTTTTATATTTATTTAATATAATTATAGCAACGTTAACGATAAATTTTAAAAGCTACATACATGTATTTGTATACAGTTTTACTATTTCAGCACGATACTTTGAGAGAGGACTTGTAATACTTTGTGTATTATTTTAAAAGACATCATCGGGAATAATTGTCCTTTTTGTCCATGTGTCACTAAAATCACAAACACAAAAAAGGTCTGAAATGCTCTAAGTATTTTTTGTTTTTCACTTAAACTCACAATATTTATCGTGAGATTTTGGGCTATAATATTCTAATTTTAAATTTTGCTCCAGATTGCAAAACATAATAAATTGCTTTTCTGTATAATCTATCTAAAATGGATAAGGATACAATGTTTATAAGGATAACAATATAAAGTTTATAAGGATAAGGATATAAGGTTTATAAGGATAAGGTTTATAATTAAAGAGTTATGTTATATTAATAAAATATTTATTGTATTATGTAGGTCGTGGCCACAATCGCCAAATCAAAAATAAATGATTTTAAGAAGTTATATTTGTCTTCATCGTCTTTAATAATTAATTACTTTTCTGTATAATCTATCTAAAAATGTGCAAATTTGAGCAGGCGATTTTAATTCAGAATATTATAAAACTTTGATGGAGGATAGCAGTAGGTTATTGCTTTAATACTAGAACGATCTTGTACCGCCTAGTGTGCATATTACAAAAAAAGAATATTGCTTATATTTTTGATGAAGTGAATAGGTTAATTAATATACGAGAAATAATTATCAAAATCTTTTGGTTATTTTAAAGTTAAATCCATATTCAAAATGAATACGTCATCGAACAGGTTCGATGATTTGGTACATAATGGAAAACATTTTTACATTCTCTTTAATTTTGTTTAAAACGTACGATTTTTAAGTTTCACTGTCGAAATTTCAAAGAATGATCAGAATATTTCTTTTTTTTTTTTTTTAATCAAATTTATTTATCAAGCAATCATGAATAGTTTTCAGTGTCAAACACGGATAATTTTAAGTTAAAACTACTTTCATTTTTGGTGCCAAAATAAAGTATAAATACTGATTCTCAAGAGTTTCTCCAGGAACCTCGAGCGATATATCCTAGCTCGCCACTTTTGCTCTCCACTCAAACGCGAATTCCGGTTGGACTGATGTAAAACTATAGTCGAGAAAATAAATATTAATCATTACTACGTGAACAATATGAATAAATCGTCAAAACCCCAAAATAATCGCTCCACCAAAAAAAAAACCCTATATATTATAAGAGAGATGTATACTGGAGTATTTTTTTTGTGTAGCGATAATTTTGGGGTTTTGGAAATTTATTCATATTATACACGTCCATGTACATGTCTAATAAGCTCCGGGGTTTAATATCGGGGGGGGGGGTTGTCCTGTCCACAAATTCCTGTGCTTCTGCCTTGTACTGGTAAACGACAGCTATATTTATGATATTTTAAAAGTTATTT